CCGCAGATTTCACAGCCTGGTGTGCAGACTGCCTTCTGTTTAGTTAATGGTTTTGTTGTGTTCTATATACTGTGTGATGTCTATACCTGTTTTCTGTCTAGTGTGGTGACATTTTATGTCTACAGTGTGGTTAACATTTATCAAATCTAGTGTGATGTCTGCCTGTTATGTCTTTTGTGTGGTAACTTCTACTTTCATTTGCTTGAAAAAATGTATATCTGCACTGTTGTCTCCAGTGTGAACTCACTGTAGTGTGGTATCTTATATCTAGTGCATGTCTACCTGTAGTGGTATAGAATCTGTTATATCTTGTGTTATGTCCACCTATTCTATCTACAGTGTAGTATATCTAACGTGTGATGTTTGCCTGTTCTATTTACAGTGTGATAAAAGGAAAAAAGAGGACCCTTTAAGCGTATTGGGAAATAGCCCAGCCCTATATTTTATAGACCATACACACTTAGTGGATGATGTGGTCAGCATCATGCCGACCACATTTACTTTCCAGGACTGCACTTGGTACCAACTCAAGGCTGGGTCGACCTGGGATCAGTCATTTTGGAAAAAAAGTCCGACTCCGCCACGGTGCAAATCCAGGACCTTCCGATCCACAGGCGGGCGTTTGGCCGCCAGCGTGACTTCAGTAACTTCTGTTATAATATCGAGTGTGTGATGTCTACCTGTATCTGCGGTGTGGTAACATCTATAATATTGAGTGTGTGATGTCTACCTGTCCTATTTACAGTATGGTAAAATATTGAGTGTGATGTCTTAATTAACTCTTTGAACTACAGTGTGGTGACGTCTATAATATCTGCAGTGTGATGTCTACAAATATTTCTGTCGACCTATTCTATCTACACAGTGTGGTGTCTACAAATGTTCTGTCTACAAATGTTTCTGTCTACACAGTGTGGTGTCTACAAATGTTCTGTCTACACAGTGTGATGTCTACAAATGTTTCTGTCGACCTGTTCTGTCAACAGTGTGATGTCTACAAATGTTTCTGTCGACCTGTTCTATCTACACAGTGTGGTGACATCTATTATATCTGCAGTGTGAAATCTACAAATGTTTCTGCGGACCTGTTCTATCTATAGTGTGGTGTCTACAAATGTTTCTGTGGATCTGGTCTATCTACAGTGTGATGTCTACAAATGTTTCTGTCGACCTGTTCTATCTACAGTGTGGTGACATAAATTATATCTGCAGTATCATGTCTACAATTGTTTTTCGCGACCTGTTCTATCTACACAGTGTGGTGACATCTATTTTATCTGCAGTGTGATATCTACAAATGTTCTGTCTACCTGTTCTATCTACACAGTGTGGTGACATCTATTTTATCTGCAGTGTGATATCTACAAATGTTCTGTCTACCTGTTCTATCTACACAGTGTGGTGACATCTATTTTATCTGCAGCGTGATATCTACAAATGTTATGTCTACAGTGTGGTGACATAAATTATATCTGCAGTGAGATGTCTACAAATGTTCTGTCTCCAGTGTAGTGATATCTAATGAGCACCCCAGTATACATAACATGGTACACATATTGCCTGTTAACACATATATATATATATATCACAAGCCTTGCTACATCACTGTATTTATTTTATTGTTTTACATGAACAAACAAAGCAGTAATCTCACATGATTATAAATGTCATACATTCTGTCCACTACAAACATCACTTTGTCAGCTCTGACATTCTGTCCACTACAAACATTACTTTGTCAGTTCTGACATTCTGTCCACTACAAACATCACTTTGTCAGTTCTGACATTCTGTCCACTACAAACATCATTTTGTCAGCTCTGACATTCTGTCCACTACAAACATTACTTTGTCAGTTCTGACATTCTGTCCACTACAAACATCACTTTGTCAGTTCAAACATTCTGTCTACTACAAACATCACTTTGTCAGCTCTGACATTCTGTCCACTACAAACATCACTGTCAGCTCTGACATTGTCTACTTCAATCAATCATCACTTTGTCAGCTCTGACATTCTGTCCACTACAATCAATCATCACTTTGTCAGCTCTGACATTCGGTCCACTACAAACATCACTTTGTCAGCTTTGACATTCTGTCCACTACAAACATCACTTTGTCAGCTCTGACATTCTGTCCACTACAAACTTCACTTTGTCAGTTCTGACATTCTGTCCACTACAATCATCACTGTCAGCTCTGACATTCTGTCCACTAAAAACATCACTTTGTCAGTTCTGACATTCTGTCCACTACAAACATAACTTTGTCAGCTCTGACATTCTGTCCACTACAAACATCATTTTGTCAGTTCTGACATTCTGTCCACTACAAACATAACTTTGTCAGTTCTGACATTCTGTCCACTACAAACATAACTTTGTCAGTTCTGACATTCTGTCCACTGCAAACATCACTTTGTCAGCTCTGACATTCTGTCCACTACAAACATAACTTTGTCAGTTCTGACATTCTGTCCACTACAAACATAACTTTGTCAGTTCTGACATTCTGTCCACTACAAACATAACTTTGTCAGTTCTGACATTCTGTCCACTACAAACATTACTTTGTCAGCTCTGACATTCTGTCCACTACAAACATAACTTTGTCAGTTCTGACATTCTGTCCACTACAAACATCACTTTGTCAGCTCTGACATTCTGTCCACTACAAACATCACTTTGTCAGCTCTGACATTCTGTCCACTACAAACATCATTTTGTCAGCTCTGACATTCTGTCCACTACAAACATAACTTTGTCAGCTCTGACATTCTGTCCACTACAAACATCACTTTGTCAGCTCTGACATTCTGTCCACTACAGATATTATCTGGTCAACTGCAAACATTTTATAAATATACATTCTGTCAACTACACCATTCTTATTTTTGTCAACTACAAACAATAATCAAACAAATAGCATTTTGTCAACTACAAACAATAATCAAACAAATAGCATTTTGTCAACTACAAACAATAATCAAACAAATAGCATTTTGTCAACTACAAACAATAAACTGGTCAAACAAACAGCATTTTGTCATCTACAAACATCACCCATGTACATTTAAATAAATATACTAACAAAGGAAAACAAAAGCATGTAGAAAATGAATGAAGTGCAGGTGAGCATTCAAGCAGGATGTGAAGTGATGTGGCTAAATGACTGGAATGCATGAAACGAAAGCAGGGACATCTGAGTTTGCATATATGGAGGCATAAATAAAGACAGAAAAGGACCCTTTTCACATAAGAAGACCATGTTGTTGCTAGGCTCATTCTATAGGCCAGCCAGCCCGCGATGAAATGCTGTCAATGTTATTATTCCCACCACCTGTACTTCCCTGGATCCATGCATACTTTTTAGGCCGCACTGACCTTGGAACCAAGGGCCGATTTGAATCCAAGCCCTTGTGAATTGGTCAAGCCATTTGCCTCGCACTTTAAAGGCAATGGATTCATTTCACCGCTGTATAAGTTTTCATGGAAAACCCTGGGGATCTTTGCTGGAACTACAGAGTTTGTGCTTTGTGTGACACTGTCGGCAGGTGGCTAGCAGTTCTGCGGAGAGAGAAGCCATATGGGATACCCGGTGCAATGAAGTTGATTCTCTCAACCTTACTTTTTGGGTCTAGGAAGGTAAGAACTGAGTCACTGCCACATTTAAATCTGAACTATCTTGCTGAACTGAGCTGACATCACAGCACTCAGGACATTTTGATGTCTGCTGTGTCCCCATCTTCAGCAGCCAGTGCAGAGTTCCAATTCTGACGGTGCCAGCAGCAGTCTGATTCTATGTCCACACCACGCCCTGGTCAGTTAAGTTTACTCAGGGACCAAAATGCTAAAGATGGGGATCGCCATGGGCCCGAGACCCAGTGTGGAATGGCCACAAATACAACACTGTTGTTAATGGTCCGCAAGCCACCAGCTGAACAGCCCTGGTTACAGAGATTACTGTCATAAGAATACTACTTCTCTCGTTCGCTTGAAAACAATTATCTATATCTGCAATGTTGTCTCTAGTATAAACTTCACTGCATTTTGTAAATTCACTCAGCGAGTTGTAGAGTTTGACTTGCACCAATGTTTTTCTTGGCCAAAAGACCTTGATAATGCCATAAGAATAAAGTCGGGCAACAGCAAACTCATCATATGAAGCCATTCATCAATCATCACGTAGCCAGTCCTCCATTGTAACAGAATGTTGCTCTCATCGCAGCATGATGACTGGCCCCAGGGTGTCCTTGATATACTGCTGTCATGCTGGTCAACCCCCGCCCTTCCATTACTGTTTTCTCCAAAAAATTATGGCATTCAATATGGCAAACAAAGATCTTCAGTAAGGTCTCTGCACTTTTACTGTCTACAGTGTATAATGTGCTTGTTCTGCACGAGATCACTATGTAGTTAATTTCCACTTCTGTCATTAAATAATCGCAGGAGAGGAACAAAATGCAATCAATTGCTCGACGGGAGCACAGAATTAATGTCATAAGAATAAAGTCACACATGATTAATAGATTATTACACAACACATCACACACATACCTGTCACAAGAATACATTCACATAAACAAGAACATTTCATACTAAAGGAAACATCACACTTCATACACTAGAATAAATTCACACCGCAAATCATAGACACAGAAGCAAAACACTGCGCACATACAGGTCACATTAACAAATTGACATCATGCAGGAGATACCACACATCATACACACAGGAGAAAACACAAACGTGCACACATCTGTCACAAGAATAAAATCCCACTTACAGAAGTAGACACTACACATCCACACTTTTGTCATAAGAGTAATTTACACACAATGAAGTAAACACCACACAGCTGAAATAACACACATACAGAAGTGAACATGACACAAAAGAACACACCACAGATCACAAAAAGAACACACAATACACACCTCTGTCCCAAAAATAAATTCACAAACACTGAAGTAAACATCACACATCATACACACCTGTCACAAGAAAAGTGTCCACATAGCAAAAATAACATTAACTATTAGCAAAATGGTCCCAAAGAAAATCACAAGCCAGTAGATAAGGCTGCGGATCTCTGGGTCGGGTATGGATGGTCGGAAGATGAGCTCAATGAAGGCATGGCATATATACTGGCCATCCAGGGCGTAGCATGGGACGACGTTCAGGATTACCAGAGCTCCAGACAATGAGATGATGTATCTGGGAGAACTGGTTAAGGAAAATGTCAAGAACTAACCTAAACTAGCATCTATATACAGTCTGGCACACACACACACATTTACATACTAGCTGCTAAGATTCATGTGAAGACATCTTGTGAGAATCTTCTTCACTGTTCGTCGGAATAACATAGGTGCGATGAGCCTGTTAACAGCAATGCTGTGATATTTGCGCCTTTTGGAAGATACACCTGTCTTCTTTGGGCTTTTGTTTTCCATGTTAGCCTTCCTGGTTAGTTTTAAAGGACACTGAGGGACATGTCACAGCCTCATTTGTGTGGTGTCCTCATCATAAACTGATCTACAGGTGTTGTCTCCAGAGGACCCATCATCAAGGACAGTCGCATCAAGGCTGATCAGCCCTCAACAAAAAGACAGGGACATATACATTCGCCACCATTAAAGAAGCTTCCCTAAATGCACAGCTGTGCTCAACCAAATCATCACGTCTTGCACATGACTGCTCAACCTTCACAACTGTATCTTCAGCCTGCCAACCGTCAGAGGCTGTGCCGATCAGAGATCTCCAGGAAGCAGTCCGCAGACCCAAGATCTCGATTACCTTCACAAAATGGGCATTGTGCTTCCTCATCCTGTTAAACTCCTCTCTCTGCCCATGGCACCTTTCATATGGATGCCCTGTGGTACTTTGTGCATCACTTACGGGAATCAGGCATTGTTCCCCTGGAAGGTCATTAGATTCTGATGGTGTGGCCAACATATTACACTGCCGTCGAGGCAAATTTGCAAAAATCAGAAAAGGCTACATCCACAGACATGAATATAATGCACATATTCTTCTTCTTTGCGTTCACCAGCTGTAAACTGGCGGAAAGTTCTGGTTGTTCATCCACTCTTGAACTGTATTCCTGTTCCAGAAGCTGAGTGTTATGTGTGCATGCATTTTACAAATTTGACTCATTTGTGTGCAGACTGCTGGTTCCTTGCCTCTAAGGCAGATGCACTCCGACTTCGAAGGAAGCTCCCAGTTAGTCATCTCTTACAACATACTTTTGGGTAGGCAGTGGGTCTATTCCCCCCCCCCCCCTCCTCATGATAGGGCCCCAGAACCCACACGGGGAAATGCACATATTAAATTATTTACCATCACATGACAAACAAAAATATTACGCATATATTAAACAGTTTAAATATCACATCACATTCAAACATTTAAATATTACACATTTCACATGATTTAACATCACAAACAAACATGAAGATATTACACAAGTCACAGAGCTGAATATCACATTAACCTGTCTGTCCTCTATCCCCAATAGAGCAAAAGGCACTCAACCAACTCATGCCAAGTTGTCGTATCCTGCAGCTCTCCCTGTGTCCTTCCTATCTTTTTTTTTTAACCTTCCCTCCCTCTCTCACTATGTTTGGCTGGTTTTTGGTGCTTTATATGAAGGACCTGCAGCTGACATGAGAGTTTATAGAGGCAACCCGCCTGAATATATGAAACCACATAGAAGAAGAGGCGGTTTAACATCACAGGGAAATGTTAAACTCATCAAATGGTCAAACATGCAAACAACAACACATTAAATTCCTTGAACTCTCCACGTCTGCCTCAAGGCTGGTCACACATTACAAAAGGATACTTACAAAATGTCTCGATGACAAATGGAAGATTGACTGGAATGAAAGCAGCTTTTGGCACATAGTTACTTAGTGAGACTGAAAGTGATCATGACAATCTTTTATCAAAACCTTAATACAAATTTATGACAGACACTAATGTATACCCTACTGAATAACAGATAACCCAAGTGAATCACAGTGAGCTGTCGTAGTGTAGTGGCTAGATGCTCACCTCGGGCCTGAAGGTTGCAGTTTCACATTAACATTGAGCCAGATTTTTTTTTTTTAAAACACTGGCTTCCAGGTCGACCCACCCTAAAATGGTTACAAGGTAAAGTCTTTGGAAGTAAAGGTACCTGGCAAGATGTTGGAAAAGGATTCTCCTTGAACAACAGATATTAAAGTTAAGTGGCAATATCCTTTACAGCCCACATGTTCTTCAGCAAGTGGTCCACCGACTGCAGCCAGTCTGCAGAAATTTCCTGGCAGCCCACAAAAATGTCTACCTACTTATTACAAAGTTATAGTGAAAACTAAACAAAGGAATTGCTGTTAGTGTAATGCTTCATCTCTCAGAAACAATGCTCCAGCCACATATAGCAGACTTTTTAACCTTTAAGCAGAAATTGTTGAATTTAATATGGTTTTTAATCAATAAACCTATTTGGGCAATAATGTAGATAAAAATGTGGGGGAACTGATAGAGACATGAAAATTTGAATACAAAAGGTAAGAGGCACTTTCAAAGCAGTAGGAAATTTGTGGAGGTCAAAAGAAATTAAAACTAATATTAAACTTAATATTTTTAATTCTAATGTCATATCATTCTGTTGCATGGAGCGGAAACATGAAGAACTATGGCAGTTACCAATAAACTGTGAACATTCATTAAGTGGTGCCTGCGCAGAATAGAGGGAATTAAATGGTATGATAGAATCACTAATGTAGAGCTTCGGGAGAGAACTAAACAAGTTCCAGTGGGCCAAGAGGTGAAGAAAAGATGCTGATTTTGGATATCACACACACTGAGTAAACCTGAGAACAATATAACTAGAATGTCATTGCACTGGAACTCACAGGGGCACAGAAATAAAGGAAGACCACAAAGACGCATAGAGAAGGGAACTAGAGCGTGAGGCTAAAAATATGAGGACATAGAGAGAGCTGCATACAACAGCAAAGGATAAAATGACCTGGCTTGAGCTGGTTGACAGCCTATGCCCCACTGGGGGATAGAAGACAGAAGAAGAATCAATAAAATGCTATCTTTGTTCATTCTGAACCTTCCACAGTACCAGCTGAGAATCCCAAAATAATTCCTCTGGAAACTATTTTCTGTGATCCATATCAGAACTGCAGTGACTATCTCCCACCTACATACTTAAGCTTAAAGTTGTAGAGTCAGATGATAAAACTCGAACGCATACAGAATGAAGCCATGTGGGTAATTCTGGGATATACAAGAGATACTCTGGTATTATGTATGTGATATATACTTGCACTGCCTACTATTGCAGACAGGCTCAAAGTTCTGCAGCCAAAGTCATATCTCAGAATAGCTGCAGACAAGAAGCACCTCCTGCATGAAGCCCTGGGTAGAGCAAAAGTCACATGCTGAAAAGAGGAAAGTCTTGGTTGGTGCAAGCTGAAAACACAGTCAGACATGTGTGCAGGCTTGATAGTTTTGAGCATGGAGAGGAGTGGGTCTAGGTATCCTAAAAAGTTTCAGACTGCACGTTAGGCCGTGACTGCAGAGACTGGCCAGCAGGTGCTACAGAATCAGAAGTTTAACAAATGATTCATGACAATTCCCGCCCAAGTGATGTGATTATCTGTGGGGGGGGGGGGGGGGGGGGGATTTAAAGAGAGCCACTGTCACAGCAAGTGCACTAATCATTATTACATAGTGGCTCTTCTTCTTCTGTGTCTATCCTTAAAAGGGTGGTTGGCAAACTGTGTTGTTTACAGCTATGCTGCAAAATCTGCACCTTTCGATCCGACACATCTGATTTGACCAAACCCCCTAATCAGTCATCAGTTAAGACATGTCAGTGGTGTAGTCAGTCTACTCCCCCCTTCTCCCATGGATTCCCGGAAAGTGGCTCTTAAAAAATACAGACCTAATATCAATTTTCTAATATGCCACAACTTAGACTAAGACGCTGTGTCTCCCCACCTCTAAGAAATACACAAAGACGACGTACCAGAATAATATAAATCCAACGGGTGACCCAGAAACAGCAAGGGGGGCCTCTGTCCATGAAAAACTCTCAGCAGACGTGTTTCGTTATCTACCGCTGGATACACGCAGGCGGCTTCAACTTTGGGAACATAACAGTCGCTCTGTAGCCGGCACATGGGGCGGTCTGTGGCATGCCGTGCAGGAAGGCATGCATATTTCTGCACAATTAGAAAATGACAATGACATTTATGTTTTAAGGACCAAGCAGGTGCTATTTTATTCCATTTACATCGTATGAGACAAATACAATGCATTACTGTATGGGATTAAACTCTCGATAATGAACTAGCAATTAGAAAATCAATTCGAGTCTCTGGAGATGTGGATATGCATCAGAATGAGTTGTATTTCATGGAAACAAAAACAATAAAATAAAGAGGGACAGAGAATGTAAAAAGAGACCCCCAAAAAAACAAAAAACAATTGACATGTTTCAGGTACATTAAAAGACAAAACACTCTTAAAAAGCATACTGGAGGGAGAAGTCTCTGGCATAACAGCAAGAAGCCAACAGTGATACAAGTGGGAAGACAATGCGAAGAGATGGATGAACAGCAGTCGAAGAAGGTTATAACCAAGAGATAGAGCCTGTTGGAGACACATTGCAGTCAACCTTCACTGAATATGGCACCTGACTGAATGGTGTTTACATGAACTTGTCCTATACTACAACATTCTGAGCCCTTGAGGTTCACTGCTGCAGCCATCACCTGCTTCTTATCTCTTGGACTGGCAATCTCTTTCCAATTGGTGACTCCACACATTTGTAGGTCTGTCTGTATATCTCTCCATCCTCTTTTTTGGGCTGCCTCATGGTCTACTCCCATTTAACTCTTTTTGCATAGTTTTCATCTCTCTGTTGTCTGCACCATTGCAGTCCTTATAATGCCAGTAGTTAGCGACGATTTTATAATCAGGCAACCAGACCAACAGGACGGCCCAGGGTGTTCTGAGAAGACAACATCTGATAGTCTCTGGCTAACAGAGGACTTGACTGGAACAAAGCCAAAAAGAAAGCTGCTGATAGAGAAGTCTGACTATCTCTCTGGCAATCCTCTACAACCCAAGGTAGAAGATAGGGGGATTAAGTAAGAAAGTCAGTTTAACAGATTATTAATTTCACTGTTGCTTCTCACTATCCATTCTCTACTGTCTGCATCTTTGATGGGGCAGAAGTTTATAACAAAGCTTCATCTCTTTTATTTTACCCCAGATTTTAGAGCCATATAACTGGTCTCCTAAGTCTTCATATATTGTGGTCTTGGTGGAGAAAAAAACTAATCCTGATGTGATAAAGATGTGAAAAAGGTTTTTTTTTTTTTAAAACTGTCTTGGAGGCAAGCACAAAAGAAGTAATCATATGTGATAATGTTATGATATAAGTGCAGATCTGCTAAGGACAACTCGCCGGAGCCCAAAGAAATGGTTCTTCTTATCAGAAATACCTCTTATCCAGATAAGAATTCAAGCAAGACTATTGCCAGGAATAAACAAATTGTTCTTCACAACAGAAATACGTCACATCTGAGATCACCTCAGGCGGTCTGCACAATATTGTGATGATACTCACGGTTTCGGCACTCTTCTTTGTGTGATAAGTGAAGCACAAATGTGTGGCACTGGTGCCGTTGCAGCAGTCAATCACCTCCCATGGATGGTGGCTTTTGTTTGTCAGTAAATCTGAAGATAAATGGAAAGGAAAAAATACTGTATTTTTCCCCTGTGGGCTCCAGGATCTCATTGTGGGGAAAACAAGAACAGACCCAATGCCTACCCAATAAACATGTCGTAATGAGAGTTAACTAATTCGGGCTGCTTCAGAAGTAAGAGTATGTCTGAAATGTAATGAACCAACAGTCTGCATACAAATAACTCATCAAAAAAATTAATGTTCACACGACACTCAGGTTCTGGAGGAAGTCTAAATACCAAAGGCTGATGAACAACCAGAACTTTCCTTTGGAGTTTACAGCCGGTGAACATGAAGAAGAAATACGGTCTCATATCAATTTTTGCTACAAAAGATGCCTTTAGGCTTGTTTTTATGGAAAGTCTATTTTTTTTTGGGTCCATGTATACAAAAATCTTCATTTATTCAAGAAAAACAATATACATTCATTCAAGTACAATAATCTACCTTTATTAAAATATTTATAAATATCAGCATCTGTGGCTTAGGTCTTATGAATGTGCTTCATAATTCCGTGATGCCGGGTTCGATCCCAGCTGCAAGCAAACCAATATTTGTTGGTTTCAACACTGTATCGACAGCCGACCGTTCATTGAGCAATGACAAACTACTGAATGTAAAATTGCCTAGTGAAATAATAACAGCCCCAAAAAATGCTAAGGAAGGTTCTGCAATCTCCTGTAAAGGACACACAACAAACTTTTTTTTAAAAATCTATTATTTTCTAATTCAATATGTCCGTGAAACATCCCATGACACTAACCAGGAAGGCCAACTAACCTGGGCAATAAAATACCTGAAGAAGTTGGATGTGTCGGCTTAAAGGCACAAATATCGCAGCAATGCTGTGAATAGGCACACCACACAGAAGAAGGAGAAGAACAAGAAGAAGAAACAAACTCATTACAACAGTTTGCCTACTTGATGGGGATGTGTCCAACTCTTTAATTAGATCCAACGGCAAGCAGTGACCTGTCCACTTTTCCTGCATGCTGGCAGACAGACAGTTTGACCAGTCAGATATACTTTTCACATGACAGTCTCCGATCCGAGTCACAGTCTCTCCCACTTTTAGCCCTCGAGGACCAGAGACTGCAGAATTCTGGAACAGAAGAAAATGTAAATGCATATGGCTGTCTGATTAACCAAACCATTGTAGGCATTGATTGATTTATCGACTGATTTAATTGACTGATGTCATTTATTTATTTCACTAACTGATTTTATTGACTTAAGATACTGACGAATTACTGATGATTCCACTGAATATCTCTATACTCTGTGTAGTGTTATGTAATGTACAGGGGAGACAAGAACTATTCAAACTCCAGTTATATTGTTCTGTTGGCTGCTTATTCAAGGTCATTGCTATGCCGATGTGAATGTGTCAAGTTAGGGTCAGCTCTGGAACACTATCAGAAAAAAAAAGGTCCAACAATCAACTGGGTTCATTAGAATAAGATGCTCACTGAAGATCTGAAGCTTAAACTGTGGATTCATTGCAGAGTGCAAGTCCACACACCTCTGCTCACATTGTCGACTGCCAAAGAAAAAACCTGCCATTACGGCTTGTATTTACCCCTTCTGTGGTGTAGGGGCTTTGAGCCTGAGGATTTAGTGCCTCATGACTGCAGTTACCACAGACTGGGGCTTAAGCATGAAAGCCCAGTGTACTTAACCATTCTGCAAGCCACTTTACTTCCCAGGACTGCACCTGGTACCCACTCAAGGCTGGGTCGACCTGGGAGCCAAGGTCATTTTTGAAAAAAGTCGGCTTTGCCAGGGAGCAAACCTACGACCTTCTATTCGCAGGCAAGTGTCTAGCCGCTAGGCCACAGTGACTCCCCGTATAAAGACAGTAAACAAATTAGAGAGATTGTGTGAAGACAGAAAACAAATTTTAAAGTGTGTGAATGAGAGTAAATAAATGAGACTGTGTGTGAATTAAGACATTAAATGACTGACACAGACTGTGTGTGAATAAGACAGTAAATAAATGAGACTGTGTGTGAATAAAGACAGCACTAAGTGAAATGAGACAGACTATTGGTGAATCAAGACAGCACTAAGTGAGACACGTACCTGCATCACGCCAGTCACCACAACTGAAGTTCCAAGTGTATAAAAGGGAAACAAGAGAGTGGGCAACAGCATCAAAACCACTGCGGCAGCAACAGCTACCACCAAATTGTGCCAAACACCAGCACAGTAAATCCGCAACTGTCGTAGAGGTGAAACTGCTTGCAGATGTTCAGTAGACAGGTCCACAAATGCTCCAGGGTAAACCAGCAGCAGAAAGAGCCCAAACCCATTAATCCTCACTTGTTCCCTAAGGAATGAAATAATGGCATGAATTACTCTATAAAGGTCGTGCACCAGGGGCAGAGCTCATGCTAGTGAAGATCTGCCTCCACCTATCTGTGCTTATCTGGCAGTTTGAAACCAATTTACCCATGTGGGTCGGGTCCCATTTTTGGGTGGAGAAGCTGCCCCCATCTAACAAGTATGTTTTAAAAGGCTACTAATCAGGGTGTTTCCTTCAAAGTCGGGGTGTATCTGCCTGAAAGGTGAGGAACCAACAGTCTGCATACAAAAAAAAAAGATAATCTGTAAAACAGATCTGCACACAAAACTCAAGTTCTGAAACAGGAATTGTTCAGAAGTGAATGATAACCACAAGTTTGCACCAAAATTTACAGCTGGTGAACATTAAGAAGAAAAAGAATTGAACCGGGTAATTTTAGAATTACGAAAGTTTTCTCACAATGCCTAAATCACGGATACTGCAGAACACTCAAGAAGAATCCAGAACATGGTCACGGGGTCACTGTGGTGTCAACGAGGAATGCTAACCTGGGCAACAAATGCTGTCAGAAGTCAAATGTGTTGGTTAAAAGGTGCAAAGATCACAGACATGTTATTAACGGGAACAATGCATTTACATCTTCACATGAATGCAGAAGAAGAAGAGGACTTTTATGTCACTATTGGACAGAAAAGGGGAGGAGGCAACCAGCATACATCCCTGAGAAACAGACTTCTGCTGTGAATATTACTAAACAGCAGCAGCTTCTTCTGTTCTTTCTCCAGTTAACTTGGCAAAGAGTTCAGAGAAAAGCCTGATTTGTAAAACAGATTTGTACACAAAACCCATCGGAAATAAAAAAGGCAAATAATGCACAAACGACCAGGACTTTGCATCAGCATTAACAGATAGTCACCACAGAGACATAAAGTCAAGAAGTGGACAAACAACCAGGACTTTGCATCAGCATTAACAGATAGTCATCACAGAGACATAAAGTCAAGAAGTGGACAAACAACCAGGACTTTGCATCAGCATTTACAGATAGTCACCACAGAGACATAAAGTCAAGAAGTGGACAAACAACCAGGATTTTTCATCAGCATTTACAGATAGTCACCACAGAGACATAAAGTCAAGAAGTGGACAAACAACCAGGACTTTTCATCAGCATTTACAGATAGTCACCACAGAGACATAAAGTCAAGAAGTGGACAAACAACCAGGACTTTCTGCCAGAGTTTACAGCGAGTCTTCATGAAGATCTTAGAGCTTGAAATTGTAAACAGAAGAAATCCCAAAATGCTTCTATACTCATTGCTGTCTATTGTGATTCCTAACCCACAAACATGTATTAATCATTATGTTATTATCAAATAGGTTGCACTGGCCAAATTCATTAATTCATTGTTCTGTTGTGCTATTATTTGACACATAGGGCTCTTCCCGTGTGGGTTCCAGGGCTTCCATTGTGTGGGAACAAAAATAGACCCCGCTGTCTTCCCAACAGGCATGGAGTCGACTAATTGGGAGCTTCCTTCGAAGTCGGAGTGCATCTGCCTGAGCAACAAGGAACAACCAACCACACAGATAAGCCAGTAAAAATTGGAACAAGCAAAACTCAGGTCCTGGCACAAAACTAAAGTCCAAACAACCAGGACTTTTCCCCGGAGCTTACAGACAGTGAACAAAGAAGAAGGAGACATAGGGCTCATAGTTGATTTTTATAATTCCATTCTATTCTGTGCATCCATATGGATGTAATCCATTCCAGCACCTCTGGCTTCTCTTATCAACGTTCGCCTTAAATTTTTAATCTTGGAAGTAATTTCCTCAATCCATCTATTTCTCATTTCAGTGCCTGTTTGATGATTCTCCATCTCTTCTCAGACTATGTCTAATGTAGTGTCATCTTCTATGTTTTATACCACTGGCTAAATGCACCACATATTTTTAGCCGGGGGTAGGGGAGGTGGTGGCAATGCACAAAACAAGGTTAACTGTAAAATAGGTGAGCGTTTTTTTTAAGCAATTGTGTGCCAGCTCCACACTGGAAGCTGGATATAGTGTGCACCCACTGCTGATTTGGGAATATAATCTGATGAGGCCGCAATAACTTCCACAGTGTGACTCTTGTTATGCTGTCCGAATGCCATGAGATCTGTATTAAAAATAAAAGGTCCCCTTTCATGCCCCAAGCGCATATCGTGCTCGAAATACGACCTATATTTTTATAATCAATCAGCACTTGATGGGCGGTGTGGTCAACATTACGTTGGCTGTCTTTACTTTCAAGATCATTACGTGGTACCCATTTTAGGCTGAGCTGACAAGGGAGCCAAGATCAGCTTTGAAACAAATATGTCTCAATACTGATTTGAACCCCAGGCTTTTGGTCTGGCAGGTGAGCATTTAGCCACCATGCAACTGCAGATCTCTATAAGATTGGAATATTTAAAAAATGAAACCCTGATAGGTCGAGTATCATGAAATTGTGAAACACATTCACTAACCTCTTAACCTCAGAGACACACAACTCACCTAACAGCAGCCAGTGCATGGCCCACCTCATGGAGAATCCCACAGATCAACAAGGTCAGCATGTAGTATGAGATCTGGCTGGCAGGCAAGTTTACACCAGGCATCTGCTCAAAGCAAGTGTATGATTATTATTATTTATGCTCAGGTAAAGTGTGTATCAACATATCAACAGTTATAAGATTGTGAAAACGGCAATATATTGGGCACATCCAGAAGAGAAGCAAACAGAGAATCATCAGATAGTATGGTGATGATGACGACAACATCAAATGTATCAATATTACAGTTATGAGACTAAGAAGATGGCAATATGATGTGCACATCCCGAGAAGAAGGGGACCGAGAACCAGCAGGCGGTGTGATGATGATGATCATAAAAGATCATGTGTCTGACTCCAATCAGGTTTATTTTTCACGTACATTCGGAACGTTGCAACATTCCTATCTGTCAGTCTGCTTGTTCTCTGAGTTCACTGCTTGCAAACGCCCGGCAGAAAGTTCTGTTGGTGTGTCCTCCTCTGGACTCTATTCCTGTTCCGTTGTGTGCACAAATATTTCCCAGATCTGACTCATTTTTATGCAGACTGTTGCTTTCTTGCCTCTCAGGCAGATGTACTGACTGTGAAGGAAGCTTCTAGTTAATCAATTCCTACAACTTACTTTTGGGTAGGCCGTCGGTCTATTCTTGTTTTCCCCACAATGTGGTCCTGAACCCACACAGGTAATCTGTCAGTCAATTCCTCCATTCCCTTTAATCCTATGCAACCTATTCAATATTGTGCATTAATTTCACTCCAGCACCTCTGACCTCTTTCATCAAAACAACTATAATCTTCTTCTACACTTCTTCTTTTACCGCTTCGGTCTTCCAGGAAGATATAAGGTTCTACTGCTTCTTGCTTTTCTTGCCGCCTAACCACAGACCCATCATGCTGTTGTACATTTTCTCTGATGTAATCTTTAAATTATTTTTTGGTCTACCTTGCGCTCTACATCCTTCTATTTTTGTGAATGCCTTTTACCATATAGCATCACAAGGCGTTCTCTCTGAGTGTACAAACCATCTTATTTGCTGTCTTTGTAAGAATTAAGAATTTGTTTTGTGCTTACTTTTTATCTTATGATCTTCCTCCTGCAGCCCTTCTCAGACATCTTATTTCCATGGTTACTAGTTTTATTTCTGTTTTACTGTCAGTGATCATGTGTGGGACTGGTTGCACAGAGTGGGAATGAATATACTTTGCATGAGTTGTTTCTCTATGCTGATTAGGATCGTTACATGCTTTTTTTTTTAAATTTTATTTTCAAAGATGCTTAAACAGTTTGTTAATTAAAAAATGTAACATTTGGTACCATTTAGTGAGTTTTGGTACCTCTTCAAAAACAAATTTAGTACCATTTAGTGTGTTTTGATACCTCTTCAAAAACAAATCTGGTACCATTTAGTGTGTTTTGATACCTCTTCAAAAACAAATGTGGTACTATTGCCATAAAATATTAAGTAATTCTAGTGCTTAAATCTGTTCTAATATAAATTAAAACTTTTTATTTTTAAAATGTTTTTTCTTCCAATGTATGGAAACTTACAGGCCACACCATCAAGTATACTAAAAATTCAGACAAGAATTTAAATGAGAAAAAAAAGGCAAAATAGAAACTTACCACTGGTGTCAGAACCTGATGCTCCACAGGGCTCTGTCTGATTGTATTGAGAACCAAGAGAGACAGCAGAAATATGGATACCAGCATTGCAAGCAGTGAGAAGAAGACACCAAGGGTGAACCATATTCTCATGAAGCGAGGTCTCCACTGGCCAATCCTCAGGAAGATGCGGTTGAATATGCAGGTGTACCATCTGAACTGGCAGATGGATATACATAATCCGGTTTTATCCAAGAAGCTCAAATATGGCCGGGCACTTGCTTTCTTGCTCTGCAGGGATAGTAAGAGAAGAAAAGTTTATTTCTGTTGTTTTAAATTGTAGTCTTTAACGCTTTCTAGACAGTTGTTACTTAGACTGTTTCATTGTTATTAAACCTTTTTTTCTTCAGATCAAGTAGTTATTGACTTTATTACAAAATGTAGTCTGTTTACATTACTACTTATAACTGGCATCACACACATTTTTAAAAAATGGCACTCACACCCACACACCCAGAGAGAGAGAGAGATGGAGACAGAGACAGAGAGAGAGAGAGAGAGAGAGAGAGAGAGCACTGATTTACAGCAGCAGACACACATACAAATTGTCTATTTTCAACTTAATGTAAAACCTGCTAATCAATCAATACATTATTTTATTTTTTTTTTTTAGTTTTCAGACTTCAATAGAGGACCTAAAAAACTTTGCAATGCAATCAACAAAACAAATCTTTTCACTGTATTTTTATATCCAAAATACCAACAATAAAATGGCAAGATTAGAATAAGAAGAAACCTACTGATACTACAATGTGTGCTAGAATGAATACAGTCATAACAATCAAGTGTGTGATAAAACATGCTTTATAAGTGTTTTGCATTTCCTGGTCTACAGAATAAATTTAAGAGACCTATGATATCATTTATAAAATAATGTCATTTTTTTGTGATTCTAACAATTATAAATTCTCATTTCTCATTTCTCTTGTGAACACTCTAAAAATGGCAGCTGACATATTCGGCTGAGGTTTACAGCTAGGCTGTGCTTTTCGATCCAATACATCTAATTTGAACAAACACTTTGTTGCCTTTTACGAAATGCTTCTCAAGGAGCAGTGGGTCTATACTGTTCTCTAAAAACTAGTGGTCCCAGAACTAACATAGCCAATAAATTATAAGAGGTTCTTCATTACGGCTATACAAAAATAATGATTTTACGATAGACCACTAAATATAAGAGAGGTTGGCAGGTGTTGGCTAAGTGGGAACCACTGTGCTATATAAACAGGAAGTTGCAGAGATGTGGCTTTATAGAAGAATAATGAGAATACCAGCAATAAATAATTTAAAAAAAAAAAAAATCTTGAAAATGAATTAAGTCAGAAACAGAAGAGATTACTTGTATCATGAGAACAATCCTTCTTCTGGCATGTTATGCAAGGGGGAAAAATGGAGTATGCAGTTATATGAGAAAATTTATAGGGAAGAGAGGAAGGGGAAGACCAGCAGAGGCAGCCAGATAGACGCTACAGCTTAGTAGAACATCTGTGTCAGAAATGGTTGGCAGTACAAGGCTGTCAACAGACAAGATCAAGTAAAAAGCACCATTTTCACACCCTGGCACATTAAGCATACAATGATTGACCTAAATTTTTATAGATCAAATTGCATTTTGTAAAAGGCAACCAAGTGTTTGTTTAAATCAGATGTGTGGTCTTGATGCATGGTGTCCACCTCAAGTGCTAGCGGTTCCGGGTTCATTCCCCAGTAAGGGCTGGGATTTTTTTACTTCTAGCAATTCCCCCCGGTCTCTGGATAGTGAGACCGGACACCAGTGTGCATTGTTGCGCACGTAAAAAAATTCCTTTGCAGTTGGAAATATAAAAAGTGTAGCCCAACAGCACTGTCTGGGCAAAATTTCGATTTAAAAATCTACCTAAAAGTATTTCAGTATCCTTGCCGGTGCTACAGAGCCTGTGATGAGATTCTTCTGACAGACTTGAGATAGAAGAACAACAGAGCACTTATGGGTTACTACCCATGTGCCATGATGTTGATTCGTAGTTCAAACTTTAAACTGCACTTGATGGGTGATGTGGTCAGTATTACACTGGCCGCCTTTGCTACCCAAGACATTATCTGGTACCCATTTTAGGTTGGGCTGCCCTAGAAGCCAAAGACAATTCTGACAGAAAAATTCACCTAGATTGGAATCTGAACCCTAGTCCTCTGTCAGGCAGATGAGCGTCTGGCTGCTACACTATGGTGGTTTCCAGCATACATGATGACCACCATCTTATGGCATGGATATTTTTTTAAATGTAGAAGCAGATAAACATCTGTCCTAAAACCGTCTCTATTAGTTTTATTGTACATCTTCATCTGCTTAGAGTTTACCAGCTGTAAACTCCAGCAGAAATGTATGGTAGTTCATCCACTTCTGGACTTCGGTCTTGTTACAGAACTCAAGTTCTGCATGCATGTCCATTTTTACAGATTTGGCTTATTTGTGTGCAGACTGTTTATTGCTTGCCTCTTAGGTAGATACCCTCTGATTTTGAATGACACACTTTATTAGTCATCTAGAGGAAGAAGAGACATTAGGACAAAATCAATCATGACGGATCTTGGTCAAATATCACTGAGCTACCACAGATTCTTGTTAAGATATGACTGAGCCACCACTGATCTTGGTCAGATTTCACTGAGCTACCATCTGTTGATGCTGAATGCTTTGTGGTGTATACCAAACCTGACATCCCTTATTGTGACAATGGCTTCCAGCTGAAGAGCACACTTGGGAGGACACTAGGCTTATCTTAGAAACTGAAAATGTAAAAAAACAATGCAATGGCAGGGCAGACCAGGCCTCAAGCCTCGGTTAGCAGCTGGTCTAGGATGGAAGCTCTGCCATATGGACAGACAAATCACTGCTCCTCTGATCTGGCAGCTTTTGCAGCCTACTTTATTTCAAAGATTTGTGTTATCTTTTCTTTTGAGAAAACAAGGCACTCTAAGAGCGCATCATGAAGCAAAGGCAACACATGGTCTCTACAAAACCACCCAGGCTTTGTGCTAAAGAGAGGAGGAACTTCATCCCTGACCTTTAACTGGCTGTTTCCCATGACTATAACAATAATGTCTCCCTCTCCAACCCTTTTTTTTTTCACACACACACCGAAAAACAGGAAGCATGAGGGAAAGGAGATATAAGCAGGAGAAGTATCAACAGGTAGAGGAGACATGCTTGGTACAGAAAGTTTACACTGAGGCTTATGTATAAAGATGCACAAAGAAAAAAAAAACTGAGTTAAAAAATAAGCAGCACTTCAATTACCTTGAGAAAGGCATCGATCAAATACAGTGATGACCAGAAGCCCAACAGCAGGGCAACCCAAGTCGTCTGAATCAACATAATAGCCAGTGGTGTCCGTTTTTAAGTGTTCTTTTGTGTTCATTTGCCAAAATCAAATCCTCCATCAATGCCTAACTTCAAGACATAAAGGCAAAAATATGTCATTTTTTAAAATGACTACTGCGATATAGACCTTTCGGCCTTTCTAAATTTAATTTGATGAGTTCTGTTCTTAAACTACTGACATATAGGCTGAGTGGTAGTTGCTTCAGCTAGCATAACTGACCACTGCTCGTGATCTTCTCATGTCTATTATTTATTTATCAAATGGCAAATTCAGCTGTTCCAACTCTATATGTGCATGTATATTTATGAAAACACAGTTGGGCAGACCTTAAAAGTCAAATCCAATGGTACTTCAATGAAACAATATGACAGTTCTGAGCAGATAATACTAATAATTAATCAAATAATAATTCAAATTAGACCTACTTCTTAATAATCACAAATCAACTGATACCATATTAGAAATATCCTGTTCAACCAGTGTAGGTTAAAACTAGCATAGAGTTTCAGATAATGCATATTTTCTTACTGGTAATTACTGGTGTGAAAGTATACTACTATACATACACAACTATCGGCTCTCCTCCGAACTTCTACCCCGGCATTATGGCGCCGAAAAATATCCGTACTGGGCTCAGTGCTATTAAAAATATGCGAACTTCCAGCGACGAACGAATCGCGGCAAAACTAGGATCGGCTTCGTATAGCAAAACAAATGCTCTAACAGGGTCTCAGCGATATGTTAATTGCGGACCTGTTTCTTATTGTTTTTGATTACCTGACAATGTTAAGAGACGCAACACTGCAGATGTGCATTTCTGCAAACGATAAAAGCGACATGGCGGGGAGACCACGTGCGCCGACGCAAATTAGCGTTGTCGTTGTCCTCAAACTTTTCGGCATGCGCAAAATGCGGTTACACTTACCGCCGACAGTATCCTCCGCGTCGCTACGCGCGGCACGGATGGGGGGGGCTAAACTAGATGCCTGGGACTCACAAGCAAATTATTTGGAGGAAGTTGCAGGAAATGTGGTAGCTGCTGCTCGTGAGTCCCAGCCCCCATCCGCGCTGCACGTAGCGGCACGGGAGATAAGGTCGGCGGTAAGGCATAGTCACAGAAACAGGTCCGCAATTAACATATCGCTGAGATCCTGTTAGAGCATTTGTTTCGCTATATGGAGCCAATCCTAGTTTTGCCGCGATTCGTTCGGCGCCGGAAGTTCACATATTTTTAATAGCACTGAGCCCAGTACGGATATTTCATGCCGCCATAATGCGGGTGTAGAAGTTCGGAGGAGAGCCCAACTATCATTAACAACATTATCAATTATGTTGCTGTCTAACTTAATGTGTATTTGAATGGCTGATGTGTAATGTAGATGATCTTGAAATGAACAACGTGCAATTAAATATCCTGGTAGTTCTTAAACTAAACATCAGCACTCAACATTTATGCTCGATTAGTATTTCTCATTCGCCTACGCCCACCCCGAAGTTTCTTATTTTATTACAAAAACTGATTTTTGCTCACGAATTCATTTCTTCCCGAAGTCTCCCTCCAATATACCCGTGCATTTATTAAACATTGCAAGTCTCGTCAACTATCAGAGGTGTTCAGTCATATGATATTCGGAAATTCCTGTCGGGTGCAGAATCTGTAAGGATGTGAGGTGTAATAGCGCTGAGAGAGAGTGTGGAGAAGTTGCTGGAGGAGGCCATCCCTCGTGTTTTTGTTTGAGAATGAATCAACCGGAAGTTTATACTCAACTGGGCCAATGCTGACTCTGCGGTTAATGGTGGCATACTTCGAGATCAGGTCCTAGGTTAATTAGGAATAACAAATAGTTGTATTTAAAAAAGTGTTTCTTAAGTTATGTTAATGCTAAAAAATGTACGTAATAAATACAGAAAGAAAGAGTAGGGTTTATGGGCAAGTAAAGTTTCACCGTTTCCAGGGGCGTCCCCCTGTTGCTGCCAATGTATAAGTTTCACCACGGTCAGCTCCAGATTTATATACAGCCGGACGTGGTTTCACATGCTACCCCGTATCCAGGTTAGGGTTGAGTGGAGAAGTACTCCACACGGCAGCATGCACAGTAGGGGTCCGTCGTCATCAGTAGAGATCCTTCGTCGACAATTGTTTCGGCCCATTACTTCCCTACACAATCTAGGAAGGTGGACCGACCTGGGTCATGAAGCCAGGCCTCGATCTTCCCCTGCCGCACTTCAACGGACTCCATAGGGAAAAGACGATATGGTGACTTTGTAACAAGTATTGTGAGCTTTGGTGTTATATTGTCGCTGCTGTAGCAAATTAGATCAGTTGGCTACCTTCACGACCAGAGTGACAAGCTTATGGTTGGTTAATCGGACAATTGTTAGACTTCGGCATTTGGCAGAGAGACATCGGCAGATATTTATCGAACACTTTAGCTTTTGAGGGATGAAAAGCTCCTTTCCGCTAGGGACTCGAACCAGTCTATCGAGGCCCATTCCCCCACGACGTTCCGCTGCGTCCATAGCCAACTCAAAGCTCTTTCATCGGTTGTTTTAGTGACGTTCACGTTGGTTTCCCAGCAAGCACAGCTGCTTTAGCACATTGTACGTGGAAGTGAAGATAAGACCTCATGCACCTCCCTCGGTGGCAAAGATTTTTACTGCGTACGCTTAGTCTCTTCTCAGAGCGGTTAGATTAGAACAATGTGCGTCAATTATGTTACGTCCCTTCTTTCTTCAGCTAAACTTCATTTTCGCAGGTTTAACGCGATTTTAATACATCAACGCAACATCATCAGATAGGCTGCTGCCGCTCCTCATTGTGAAGGCTCTCTGGGATCAAGTGGACAGACCGAGTATCCATACACTGAGAGACTAATCCCGCGAGGGGTGAGCAGGGGTCTGGAAGATATTCAACACTGTTGGGAAAACATGGGCAGATACAATACCAGCACAGGCACTAGAACTCAGAAAATCAGCTACAAAAGCAATAGAACATTCACGAAAAAGTTGTATCGACAACCTGAAAAACGCCTTCACACCATGGCTATAGCCAGTACCAGTCAAGGTGCATCGGTTATGTGCATGCGATACATCCTCGCATTGCCGATAATCGCAGAAAGGCTAAAGGTGCTGCAAGCTAAGTCATACCTCAGAGTAGCTGCAGACAAAGAGCACCCTCTGTATAAAGCTTTGGATGCAGCTAAGGGTAAAAGGCTGAAAGGGGGGAAATCATGGATGGCTCAAGCAGAAGATACAATAAGACAAGTATGCATGCCGGAAAACAAGGAAAGAGGCAAAGTATCAGAGGAAAAGTCTGACATGGGTTGGGTCATGATCACAGTAGGCCAGGAGTGCGGCGAGTGGCCAGCGGGCGCTACTGAGGTGTAAGTCCAACAGTTGATTCACGACAGTTCTTGTCCAGATGATTTTATTATCTATACATATGGTCTGTGTTGAGAGGGAAGAGAAATGCCCGGGGGTTCGTAGCGAAAGCCAGTGGAAAATCTTTAGTGCAGGACAGCCTAGCATATGATACCACGACATCTAGCATGAGAATGGAGGTGGAGGCGGTCACTGCCGCTTTTCCGATGGCTAGAGAACAAGATGCATAGACATGACGTAATTGTAACAGACTCCGAAAGCATGCTGAGAAAGGCGAAGACTGGGTTGCTTCGAGCGGAATGGCTAGCTTCAGTTGGAAGGTCACGAGTAGTGAGCATACTTTGGATCTTTTCTCCAGGCTATGCATGGCGTGGTGGGAAATGAACAGGCAGATCGATTGGCTGGATTTGCACCAACTGGCAGCGAACTGATACATGACAAGGCAGATGTGGTCAAGGCCCTTTAGGAATAAGTAACGAAGTCGGAAGAGAAACTGTGTTATTATAGCCTGGAGAGAATGATGCACCTGGGTGTAACCAGAGGGTCTAACCGGCTCACTGCGCTAAGAGGAAAGGCAGGACGGACAAATAACCAGACTACAATCGGTAATATTAGTAATGGAATTCTGCGCTGGCTGCTGAAGATTGGGACGAAGTTAATTTGGGAATGCCCCGAGTCCTGTGATGTCAATTATTTACCCATTTCAGCTGATTGGAAAAATTATGTTAATTCCCACACTGCGTTAACAGCAGAAGTAGTTTATTATGAAGCTAAAAAGTAAGCAATTAAAAAAAGTAAAGATATTATTACTGTTAGTTTTCCGTCTGCGTTCAATTGTCCTATTTTTGGGAGGGGAAAAGAAAAGACCCGCTGGCCTCTTCATAAGAATGTCGTAAAAGGCAACTAATTAGGGGTGCTTTAAAATTCTGGAACAAGACCGAAGTTTACAGTCAATGAATGCTAAGCAGACAACGATTATTACTAGTTAGGCTACACTGTGTCGGCCCCGTGAGACTGCACATGTTGCACGTGTGCTAAATCTGAATACTGTACCATAGTTTCCTGAAAAACAGGATAACATTTGACATAATTACAACTATTAGTACAGACAGACAGACAGACAGACAGGCCGATCGACAGACAGACAGACAGACAGACAGACAGACAGACATACATACAGACATACATACAGACATACAGACATACAGACAAACAGACAGACAGACAGGCAGACAGACAGACAGGCAGACAGACAGACAGGCAGACAGACAGACAGACAGACAGACAGACATGAAATTACTGGGAAAATTAAACACTGGGAAAAGATCTGCTAATGATAAAGAACATGTATTGGCAGGTAAGAGAAACTTGAAGAATTAACAGCCATTTAGGAAATTTCAGAGCTTGAAGAGGGGAATACGACACGCGTGTGTACTCTCACCTAATTTGTTTTCATTATACAGAGAATTGGTGGTAATTACATAAACAATTTACGTATAGCTGATGACACTGTCTTGATAGCGGCAGGACAGAAAGAACTACATGAATCGCTATATATGATGGTGGTAGAAAGTGAAAACATGGGCCTCAGCTTGAATAACGGGAAGGCTGA